AGGTTAGTCCAAGCATGAGTGGAATGAGGGGATTGCTTGGGTCTTGCTTGAAGGCACCCGTGTACTCTGCTAGGGAATATTTGTAGGTACCAGCCACCAAACAGTTGTGGCCGTTAAGCAATCCGAGGGCTACTAGGTCTGGGTGTTTATGGGTCAGGCGTAGCAGGAAACGGTTGTGGCGAAAGTCGTCCGCTTTGGAGATGATGAGGTTGAGTAGGTTCCAGCATCTCTCATTCTCAGGATTCTTGATCACAAGCTCCCTCATAATGTTGTAGGCAAAGTAGGAGCTTTCATTGTAGATACAGGCTAAGAGACACATGAACTCGACCTCTCTTGCACGTTCCTTGTCCTTCATGAATTCTTTAGACCCAAGGGCTGTGAAAGTCATTCTTTCTAGTTCTTCAAACCTGCACAAAACAGTGAAGAGAGCATTCTTAGCACCTTTTTTTCCTTGCAAAATTATACTAGATGCCTACACTGACAGAAAAAATAAAATAATAATCAGCAAAGACCATAAATAATCACAAAAAGACCTTTATGTAGGTCACAATGAAAAAACAAACTTCCTTACCTCTTCTTTTCATGAAGGATATTACACACACTGGTAAAGAGTTCCCACTGATCTTCTATAGACACATCTGGCCCTGTGTAAGCTGGTCCATTGTCTTCCAGACTCTCATTTTTGGAACGCCGGAGTTCTCGGATGGCTTCATATTTGTTGCTCAGCTTCTTGTTGCTGATCATGGCTTCAGCCTCATCTCGATTTCTGTCAAGAGAGTTCAATTGCTACATTTATTACATCTGATGAAGAAACATGCAATTGGTCTAATTACTTTTTGCTTAGTTTGAAATATACTTAACCATCAGATCAGTTTTGTTTTTTGGTCTGTGACAAAGACAAATCAGGTCTTACTTGATTTTTTAAAGATTAATATAAAAGCTTTGAGAAAGGTGCAAAAACATCCAGCAAATTGTATTTTGAATTAAAAATATCATAAAATAATTATATTCCAGGCAAATTGCCAGGCAGATTTATCCTCCTGCCATCTATTTTCTATTTACAGTTGTCAATGTTCAAAAAAAAAAAGATTCATTATTAGTTCCAGAACACTGGCCACACCATAGATTTTTAAATGAATTTAACCAACACTGAAATTCAGGGGGAAGAAGCACTCACAGATTGTGCAAGCCTGTGCATTCTTAAATACTTACATTAACATACATACACATAAAGTAAATGATGGGCAGCTACATAGCGTCATTCATACATTCACACACTGACTTTCGGCAATACATTTACGAAAAAAAAATTGAAGTTCACCTAATGTGAATAAAATGCCTCCTGAACAGCAACTTAGCAGCATTAATAAATTCATCAACAAGGTTCTGATCCAGCAGGATCTTGCATCGCTGGAAGAGGAGCTGTGAGTCTAAAGGCTCAAAGTCACTCTCTTGGTTCAGAATGAGGAGAGCTTCATCCAGGCGGCCAAGCGACTGCAGGATGGATGAGAGAGTCAGACGGGCTTCAGCATGCTGCGGTGCCAGTCTCACCACCTGCAATGGGAGAATAAAGTGAATGGTCTCTGAGTATTTCCTTTACAGTTCAATTGCCATAACTAATTGTGTGCATGCATCAAACTATAATAATTTATTAAACTTCAGTAACTAATAACCAAAAAGTTTTAACAAAAAAATTGTTTTAGTATAATATATATGCAAGAAATGGAAAATTTCCCTTGCTAGCAGAAAATATCTGCAAACCTTGAAGTCCCATCTAGTTTTCTTTTAATTGCAAGAAATGTGTATCAAATATATTATGCTATTGCATATCCATTCAAAGCATGTTATATAGATACATATCATACCATACTACTAGTAGAAGAAAATTCTTATTTATTAACCTTATTGTATGCCTCAGCAGCTTCTTCCATCTGGTCGACAGCTGCCAAACTCTCCCCATACTGGAGCCAAACAGCAGCAACATTATAGTGATCTGAGTTGATGAGTGGACGCAACAACTGAAGGGCAGCTTCATGGAAATCAACATCCATGTAGGCTTCAGCTATATCTAAGTACAGGTCACCGAATTCCTCCACCGATTCACTGAAGGTTAACAAGGGATGTATATTACCATTCCATAAATATCCATATAATCATCAATGTTGAAGTTAATATTTTTTAAAGATCACTAATTTTTTTCATCAATTATCTACAAATTCAGCATAGATTCTTAATTCAGGAATCTAAATTATAATGATTATAAAATACTAATTCATTCCCAAACTCACTTCATCAACTGCTCAACCAGTGGTGCACTGATTTCAAATGCTTTCACATGAATCAGGGACACAGTCAACTTTGTGTGAAGATCAATCAATAAGTCTGCAGGAACATAACATTCAGTTGCCTGTGATAACTGTTCCTCTAAACTGCGACTGTGGAATTCCTCTTCACCAACATTCTACCATACATATACAAACAAAGTATTAATCAGTATTGA